AGTTTGTAGAAAAATACGAAGGTGGGGAAGCAGTTTGTGATAGTGGTTGATGGTGGTATAGGTGTAGTGATGGTGGTAGAAGGTGGTAGTGATGGTGGTAGCAGTTGAAATAGTGGTAGAAGGTGGTAGTGATGGTGGTAGCAGTTGTAATAGTGGTAGAAGGTGGTAGCAATGGTGGTAGCAGCTGTAATAGTGTAGAAGGTGGTAGCAGTTGTAATAGTGGTAGAGGGTAGTAGCAATGGTGGTAGCAGTTGTAATAGTGGTAGATGGTGGTAGTGATGGTGGTAGCAGTTGTAATAGTGGTAGAAGGTGGTAGTGATGGTGGTAGCAGTTGTAATAGTGGTAGAAGGTGGTAGTGATGGTGGTAGAGGGCAGTAGTGGTTGTGATGGTGGTAGAGGGTGCCTTCTTCAGTGATTCAGCAATTCTACTAACTTCTCCAATGTTGTTGGAGTTATATAGGGCTACAGAAAACACCGCCGCCTCAGCTGCTGCTTCACCACCATTATGGACGGCTTACTCTCAGTGGCCCTTATACACCCAACAACACAACACAACACCTCGTGACATACATAATGACTTATTTTATTCATTCTAGAGTATATTCCATGTTTCTATGTTATTAGTATGTGACCTCAGACACTTACTTGATCCTAAGAGATTTTTGGAAAGAACACTTCAGTATCCTCCATTGCATAAGCCTTATAGGTAAGGCTTGGGAGGGAGTGACTACCAGGACTTTGAACTCTGCTTGGAGAAAATTGTGGCCAGATTGTGTCCACAAGAGGGATTTTGAAGGGTTTGTGGCTACCCTGATGAGCCTATGTCAGTTGTGAACTCTATTGTTGAAGATTGAGACACTTATGCAACATATGGGAATCTTTATTCAGGAAACGTTTTGCCACACAGTGGCTTCATCAGTCCAATACAAAGTAGAAAGGCGTAAGGAGAGGAGGAGTTTGAGGTAATCAGTCCCTCAGCCTGGAGTCGATGTGTTCAGTCCATCAATCTTGTAGAATGTACAGCATAGGGCCGTAGACGTGACTTATATACTGTAGTGAGTGAGGTAAGGCGAAGCAGGAGGAGGTGGGGTCATAGTGGTACCATCCACTAGTCGAAGTAGGTCTTCGTCCAAAGGTTGGACAAGTGTTGAAGAATTCTTTGTAACAAGATCCCATGATGCTGGGAGTGTCTGACAGTTGTGTATGAAGGTTTGAAAAACCGACAATTTGAAGTTTGAGACACTATGCAACATATGGGAATTTTTATTCAGGAACGTTTCGCCACACGTGGTTCTCGTCCTTACAAAGTAGAAAGAGAAAGGAGGGGAGGAGTTTGGGGGTAATCAGTCCCTCACCCGGAGGGATGTGTTCATTCCATCAATTTGTAGAATTTACAGCATGTACAGCTGTACTTCTACAAGATTGATACGAAACATCGATCCAGGTGGGGGACTGTTTACTAAAACCCTCCTCCTTACTCTTTCTATTTGTAATGAATGAAAGCCCTGGTGGCGAAACTTTTCCCTGAAAAAAGATTCCCATATGGGGTAAGTGTCTCCAATCTTAAATTGTTGGTTTTTCAAACCATTCATCAGAACTCTATTGTGGATTGAGGGTTTCATGGGTTGGGTGAGTTGGGGGATGGGGAAAGATTTGGGTGGAGGCCCACAGGGAAGAGCTAACCACTGAGAGCTGCAAGAGTTAGCAGGAAAAAGCAAAAGATCGCAGCTCAAAATCTTGTGGGGAGGAGGAGGAAGAAGATGGAAGAGGTCCTTTCTTCAAAAATTAAGGAGATTTTTGAAATGGGGGTGAATGGAAAGATTTATGGAGAAAACATCACCCTAAAAAGGGATGTTCAAGCCATATCAGCAACTTGTCAGTGACAAGTCTTGGCCCCTTTTTGGGGAAAAGCTTTAACCCTTTCGGGGCCCGTCCCCCTTAGATCTACGGCTTTACGGTGAGTGCCCAAACCCCATAGACATCCCAAAAAATTTAGCGCCATCTTTTTTAGCCGAAAGCGCACAAGGCCTACATGGAAGAAGGGGGTCTGCGCCGTGGGTGTGCGCCTAAAAAAAAAATTAGGGGCCTGCAAGCATTTGGGAACCCCGGCTCAGTCACCCTTTTTTCCCATGCCCGCCCAAAGTCGTCTCCCCCCCCGGAAATTGGGTCCCCTCTTCCGTTGATAGTTCTTACACGAGGGGAAGGGGAAATGAAGACGAATTCCCGGCTTTGAAAAGTTAGGGGCCCGAAAATAATGCCCAGGATATCGATAATAGTGCAGAAAACCCCGCGACCCGCCCTTCTACTCTGGTGTGGGCACTCGGGGGCTCACGGGGGTGTTCCTAAAAGTAAGAGAAAAAAAATATTTTCCGTGGCCAGGCCCTGACTTTGTAAGACAATGTTTCTGACGTGGATTGTGATTTTATTGCGCCGACGATCATTCGAGTAGTGATAGTGAGGAATCATATTCACCAGTGAAGGGTCGGTTTTTCGCCCCCCGATGCGCTCGGGTAGTGTACCCTATGCCTTTGTGCCAGGGGGGAGAAAATCCCGGAGTACACCCGGAGTACATCCTGGAGTAATCCCGGAGTACATCCTGGAGTACATCCCGGATACATTGGATACATCCCGGAGTACACCCCGGGGGCCCTACACCCATTTTAGGTGTGTGTGGGGTGATGTCTACATTTGGGCATGGATGAGCCAAGGCATCAGTGGTGGTGTTAGTTGCTGGTGGTGGTGTGAGCACCCCATGCTTTTGACTCACCACCCACACGGGGCCCCATGCTGCTGACTCGTCAGTTAAAGGGACAAAGCGGGGGTAGCACCACCCCCACAACCACAACCACCCGTACAACCCCCCTATGATGCCCATATCCCCAAAAAAAGTATGTGGGATTGGCAGCAAAATCCCAATTTTGTTCCCAAGCCTCACCATTTGTGACTCAAGGGAATTCTACCTACCTGCCCCCTTGGGGAACCAGGGCCCAATGAACTGGAATCTTTGTTTATTCTTTGACCACCATTGATGGAAATTATTGCCAGGGAAAGTAATAAGTATTTTCAGTACACCATGGCAAATACGATCTTACACCACAGTCAAGACTACACAGGGGGGAAAGAAGACTGTTGCAAAAATTATTTGCTTTTTCAACATAATGCTTATGCCTCCGTCTAAAAGCATAATATTTGCCTCACGTCTAAAAGCTAATTAAAAGCTACTGGCCCCACAGATGGTAAATTTTTACCCGGTCTTCATGAAATAATCCCGGAACAGGGTTTTTTTACTGTTCTTGTTGCACTTCTCTGACAAAACCAGGCCCGACAGAAGGACGGGTTTTACAAGATTAGAAATTTTTTTCTGTATCTCAAACAAAAGTTCGGATATACTTTTTTCCATTCAAGAATCTTTTAATTGCGAGTTTTGATTTTGTTCAAAAGGTAGACTGTCATTTAAGCAGTTATACCGAGCAAGAGGGGAAACCCCTTTTTGGGATAAAACTGTTTGTACTCTGTGATTGTGACAGTGCCTGATGTTGGGTATTGTTGTTACACGGAGTAAACATTTAAAATACCAAATGTTATTGGGTATCTCAGGTGACGTAGTGAAAACATGATTTCACCTTATCTTGGTAAGGAGCATACATTATATACCGATAATGGTAACCAAAACCATTACTCAGTGTTTCATGCGAGTGAAAAAGACAGATGTGTGGCACAGTGCGTTCTAATCGTTAACATAGCCCCCGGGTCAAAACAGGTTTGTGGTGATACTGCAGGTTTTATGCAGTGAAACAGGCTTACGGTGGCATGGGCAAAAGAGATTCACATGTTGACAACCTTCACCGAAAGAATGCAAAAAACAGTGGCAAAGTTAATCGAGTGACTAATGAAAAGTATTCGAAAAAACCCGTGTCATGTTGATTTACACAAAAAAAGCGCTTGGTTTTACAAGTGTGACAT